TATTTTGGGTTATTTTGGGCTGTATTTTGGGCTATTTTGGGTTATTTTGGGCTCTTCCCCCCAGGGGCTTTTCCTCCACGTCACCAACCGGCAGCACTTCGGGCACCTCCTGGTGACCCACGGCTACAACACCTCCCGCAGGCACCCCGAGCTCTGGGAGAGGACCCGCAACCCCTGGGTACCAGTACACACCAGTATAGACCAGTATAAACCAGTATAGACCAGTATAGACCAGTATAAACTAGTACAGACCAGTATAAACCAGTACAAACCCTGACCATCCCCTTCACCCCGAGCTCTGGGAGAGGACCCGCAACCCCTGGGTACCAGTATAAACCAGTACAGACCAGTATAAACCAGTACAGACCAGTATAGACCAGTATAAACTCGTACAGACCAGTACAGACCAGTATGAACCAGTACAAACCCTGACCATCCCCTGCACCCCGAGCTCTGGGAGAGGAGCCGCAACCCCTGGGTACCAGTAAAAACCAGTACAGACCAGTATAAACCAGTACAGACCAGTATAAACCAGTACGGACCAGTATGGACCAGTATAGATCAGTATAGACCAATATAGACCAGTACAGACCAGTACAAACCCTGACCATCCCCTGCACCCCGAGCTCTGGGAGAGGACCCGCAACCCCTGGGTACCAGTACAGACCAGTATAAACCAGTATAAACCAGTATAGACCAGTATAGACCAGTATAAACCAGTATAGACCAGTATAAACCAGTATGGACCAGTATAGACCAGTATAAACCAGTACAAACCCTGACCATCCCCTGCACCCCGAGCTCTGGGAGAGGAGCCGCAACCCCTGGGTACCAGTACACACCAGTACAGACCAGTACAGACCAGTATAAACCAGTACAGACCAGTGTAAACCAGTACAGACCAGTATGGACCAGTATAGACCAGTACAGATCAGTATGGACCAGTATGGACCAGTACAGACCCTGACCATCCCCTGCACCCCGAGCTCTGGGAGAGGAGCCGCAACCCCTGGGTACCAGTATAAACCAGTACAGACCAGTATAGACCAGTATAAACCAGTATGGACCAGTATGGACCAGCATAGATCAGTATAGACCAGTACAGACCAGTATGGACCAGTACAAACCCTGACCATCCCCTGCACCCTGAGCTCTGGGAGAGGACCCACAACCCTTGGGTACCAGTACAGACCAGTATAAACCAGTATAAACCAGTATAGACCAGTACAGACCAGTATAAACCAGTATGGACCAGTATAGATCAGTATAGACCAGTACAGACCAGTATGGACCAGTACAAACCCTGACCATCCCCTGCACCCCGAGCTCTGGGAGAGGACCCGCAACCCCTGGGTACCAGTACAGACCAGTATAAACCAGTACAGACCAGTATAGACCTCCCAGTTCCTTCCCAGTCCCTCCCAGTTCCTTCCCAGTCCCCCCCAGTTCCCTCCCAGTCCCTCCCAGTTCTTCCCAGTCCCCCCCAGTCCCCTCTCAATCCCCCCCCAGTCCCTCCCAGTCCCTCCCAATCCATCCCAGTTCCTCCCAGTTCCCTCCTACTCCCTCCCAGTCTCCTCCTAGTCCCTCCCAGTCCCTCCCAGTCTCCTCCCAGTCCCTCCCAGTNGGCTTGGGATCACCCTGGGACCACCTTGGGACCACCTGGGGGTGACCTGGGACCACCTGGGACCACCTTGGGATCACCCTGGGACCACCTTGGGACCACCTGGGGGTGACCTGGGACCACCTGGGACCACCTTGGGATCACCCTGGGACCACCTTGGGACCACCTGGGGGTGACCTGGGACCACCTTGGGACCACCTTGGGGTGACCTGGGACCACCTTGGGACCCTCTGGGATCACTTGGGGGTGACCTGGGACCACCCGGAGAGGGGTTGGGACCACCCTGGGGCCACCTTGGGACCCTCTGGGACCACCTTGGGGTGACCTGGGACCACCTTGGGGCCACTTTGGGGTGACCTGGGACCACCTTGGGGTGACCTGGGACCACCTTGGGACCACCTAGGGGTGATTTGGGACCACCTGGAGAGGGGTTGGGACCACCCTGGGACCACCCTGGGACCACCTTGGGGTGACCTGGGACCACCCTGGGACCCTCTGGGACCACCCTGGGGTGACCTGGGACCACCCTGAGACCACCTGAGAGTGACTTGGGACCACCTTGGGACCCTCCGGGACCACCTGGGGGTGACCTGGGACCACCTTGGGACCCTCTGGGACCACCTTGGGACCCTCCGGGACCACCTTGGGGTGACCTGGGACCACCCTGGGACCCTCTGGGACCACCTTGGGACCACCTTGGGACCACCTTGGGACCACCTTGGGGTGACCTGGGACCACCCAGAGAGGGGTCGGGACCACCCGGGGGTGACCCGGGACCACCCCCCGTGACCCCCCCCCCCCCCCCCCCCCCCCCCCCCCCCCCCCCCAGCCCCCAGAACTACACCCCCAAGGTGGGCGAGGCCGGCACCGCCCGCGCCATCCGCCGCGCCTTCCGGGCCTGGGCGGCCGCCGCCCCCGCCCTGCGCTTCCGGGAGGTGCCCTACGGCGCCATCCGGGCCGGCGCCGCCCCCCAGGCCGACATCATGATCCTCTTCGCCGAGGGCTTCCACGGCGACAGCACCCCCTTCGACGGCGAGGGCGGCTTCCTGGCCCACGCCTACTTCCCGGGCCCCCACATCGGCGGCGACACCCACTTCGACGGCGCCGAGCCCTGGACCGACCGCAACGACGACCTCAGCGGTGAGCGGGGCTGCCGGGACCTGGCTGGGGGCAGTTGGGGGTGGGTTTGAGCTGCCAGGACCCGACAGAGTCGTGGGGGAGCTCTTTAATCTTCCAGGACCTGATTGTGGGCGTTGGGGTGGGTTTGAGCTGCCAGGACCTGACTGTGGTCGTTGGGGTGGGTTTGGACCTTCCGGGACCCAACAGAGTCGTGGGGGAGCTCTTTAATCTTCCAGGACCTGATTGGGGTCGTTGGGGTGGGTTTGGACCTTCCTGGACCCGACAGAGTCATGGGGGAGCTCTTTAATCTTCCAGGACCTGACTGTGGTCGCTGGGGGTGGGTTTGAGCTGCCAGGACCTGGTTGGGGTCGTTGGGAGTGGGTTTGGACCTTCCAGGACCCGACAGAGTCGTGGGGGAGCTCTTTAATCTTCCAGGACCTGATTGTGGTCGTTGGGGTGGGTTTGGACCTTCCTGGACCCGACAGAGTCATGGGGGAGCTCTTTAATCTTCCAGGACCTGA